TTTCTTCTGTTTTTGCGGGAGCAGTAGGGGCCTTTAGAGTCAGACGGCCAAGGATTAAAATACTGACACGGGCTCTTCGTAGCTGTGTGAGCTTGGCAAGCAGTTTAGCTCTTCTGGGTTCTCTGCTATCCCAGTGATACGTTGCTGTGGTGCAAACACCCCAAAACTTAGTGGCATAAAATAAAAACAATCGTTTTCTTGTCTTTCGTGGTTTCTGTGAATCAGGGATCCCTAAAGGGCTTGGCTGGGTGGTTTTGGCTTGGACCTCTCGTGCAATTCCCGTGAGACAGTGGCTAGAAGTGGAACATGGGGCTGGAGCAGCTGGGAGCCGGCTGGACATCATCCTCTCTTCATGAGGCCCAGGGGTCCTCCTGGTGGTCTCTCCGCACGGGATAGTTGGGCTTCCTCACGATATGGCGGCATTAGGGCAACAGGACTCCCTCCATGTTGGCTCAGGGCTCTTTTATGACCCAGCTTTGGAAGTCACATGGTGTCACTTCTGCTGAGCACTAATGCCCAACCCGTCACAAAAGCCCACCCAGCATCAAGGGGAGGAGACAAAGTCACCACCTGTTAATCCAAGAGTAGTGAGATTCTGGAGACGTGTGGGTTGGGAACATGGATGGCAGGTTCACTGGGAATATTTCTGGAAAAATACAGCCAGTCAGGCACAGTGTCATCATTTCAAAACTGAGCATACTCATAGTCACCGTGTAGGGTTTAGGGGAAACGGGTGATGGTATGGACATTGTGTCCAATAGCATGCAAGTCTTCACACCCGGCGCATGCCCTAAGCACTTGTTCTACCTCCCAGCATCTATTCCTCCTACATGGAAGCGTCCGGATTTCCCCTGAGGAGGAAATTTCCCTGCATTGAAGGCAGCCCCTGATGGGGTGACAGGCCACGGGAGGGGCTTGTCCCTTTAAGCAGCACGGAGCAGTGGAGAAGCCCCTTTGCCATTTGAGACGTCAGGTTTGAGAGGCCAGACGTGGCTCTTCAACACCAGGAAAATCTCTCTCGGGCACCTTCACAGCTTCTCCCCAACGGCTTCCCACCTCCCGCCCCCCAGGTGCCTCCAGAAAATTCTCTTGGAAGAGTTCAGCTTCTGCAAACGGCAGGAACCAACGGACAATCTCGACTATCCTGGGCTTTAACTTTTGCCACAAACCTCCAAGGAGTCGGGGAAGTTGCCAAGGGTCTGGCGCCCGCTGCAAGTGGGAGGGAGGGGAAACTTTCTGCGGAACCCCACAGTTTGTAGTTCAGTAAGTTATCCTGCCACAGACGCGAACAGGAGCCTGCTAGAAGTGTGGGGCGGGCGCCTCATTTAACTTCCTTGGGGACCCGGAATGTAAGCTCACGCCGCTGATTGGGAGGTTTTTAATTTTCTGCCTTTGAATACCTGCTACCAAGGGAGGACTTGGTCTCTTTTAGGGAAAAAGCAGATTATTTTAGCATATCGTTCCCTAAGCGCTGCCGAAACCGTTTGCACTAAGCAGCTGGGAGCACGTTCACATTCCAGAATTCTAACAGAACAAACAGCTGAGTACAGCTATGGATATAAGGTATGCGATGGAGACTGCTTAAATGAATACTAATGGGCACGGTATGCACCGTTTTCAATGATTTTAGTTTTTGGAAAAGGTCTTCTGTTTTATTATTACCTGCATGATTTGCTTCTCTCCCCTGCAGCAGAGAGTCCCCGAAGCGGGATGTTGGCTGTTGAATGAAGGACCTTGGGGGCTGCAACAGCTGCTCGGGTTGCGGGGGAGGGGGGTGGAGGAGGATGGGGGAGGCATCATCTGGCGTTCTGTGGGGGCACAGAAAGGACCCCAGGAAGTCTCCCCCAAGAACGCCCAGAGAAGGATGGCTTAGCTGCCACCCCAGGGACCTAGAAGCTGGGCTGCAAGAAGAGCAGGGAGGGAGGAACAGCATGCCTCGTGCCGGGTCCTGGTTAGGGCTGGCACTCGGTTCAAGCTACGGTAGACGGCGGTGAGGAACTGGGGTTCGCCCACTCGGCCGCCCCTGTTCCTCTCACAGCAGCACCATCCAGCCCGTCACACACCAGGCGCCGAGTTCACGTGGGGACGATCTTCAAGTATCTCTCCCCCCGACTCCCTGCTACGACTCCCATGGATATGCTGTCACCTTGCGAGGCTCAGCGACCTGCAGGTGTGATTACATGAATGGTCTTGAGATGGGAAGATGCTTTGAGTGGGCCCAGCGTGACCCCCGGGTCTTTGTATGGCTGACGGATACACCAGGTTTTCAGGCAAAAACACGTTCACGAAACAAGTCGATTATTCGCAAGCAAAGAAGCCAGGTGCGCCAGGCGAGAGGGAGGGGCGCACACTACGGCTAGCCGGGGATTTTGTGCGTCCCGTATCCATGCGTTCTCTCACAACGCCGTATGTTTGCAAACAAACGATAGATGCCTGTTGTTTTCAGCCACCACGTTCTCAGCCACTTGTCACGGCAACAACAGGAAACGCACACAAACACACAGGCGATGCCGAACTCACAGAACACATAACTAAAGCAGCGGTTCCCACATTGTTAAAAGTTCCTCCCTTCACCCTCTCTTTGCTTTCAAGTAGCATTTCCCAGAGATCTGCTCGTGGCCCCGGGGTGGGGGGGATGTTTAGCAGGTAACTGGACGACTGTTTACAATCACATCTATGGATTTGCACTTATTGTCGCGCACCTTCAAAAATAACAAACACAGATTCAATGTGTAACTCTAAGGATATTAGCACTAAAAGTGAAAGTGAATAGTTTAAATACCGAAGCAATTGAGAGTGGATTTAAGGAAAACTCTTAAGCGGGTCATGGTCCAAGTGGAACACGGGGGCCAGCTGCTCTGAGGTTCTGGTGGTGCTGCCCACTGACCAAGCCGACCCCGCAAGCTCTCGGCAATACCCTTTGGACAAATTCCTCTCCTGCTTAAATAAGACGGGACCACCCCTTTCTGGTGCATCTAAGCACATTCACTGGTGTAGACACCGGGATGTCCTTAGAAACAGCATGGAGTTTCTCTTTTCATCAACTGACTTAAGTTAAATTTAAAAAGGGCAAATCAATCTGAAGACTGGGGCGGGTGATATGTGGCCGAGGGAACCCCAGTTTGGATGGTGGGGCTGCCATTCAGGTCCCCCCCCCCATTGAGCGGTCCCTTCCCGGAACAAGCTCTCTTCATGTCATGGGTCTAACTGACCCTTTGCAATGCTTCTTTCTCTACTTTTGCCTGTTCAAGTTCTCTCCTCCTGTCCGCCCTCTCCCAAAACATTGGAAAAAGACTAGCCGAGGAAACTCGCGTGTGATGTTTACTGTAGCTGTGACCAACAGGACCGGAATGAAAGTGGTGCTCCCAGCAGCCTCAGAACAAACAGGGTGGTCACCAGGATTTTGCAGAACTCCAAGACCACTGGGCTAATCTCCCTCACTTTCATTCTCATTCAGGTTCCCACTGAAGAAATATTTGCATATGTATATTCACCCTCAGCTAATTAACACATTCACTTTTATTTGCATAATCAATGCTAATCGTATGGGTTAATTAGACTTTATGTGCATTTGATTCAGGAGATTTCATTTGGCCTCTGATCTCCAGCTTATAACAAGGTGCCCACACACACATTTTTTCCCTGTCCATTTTTTCACAAGTTCAAAGATTTAGACACCCAACCCTCACCCGCCAACCTCACCCACAAGATGCACTAAAAATCCTTCTTGGGGTAATGAGGGTGAGGCTTGGTGTTTGAGTCAGTAAGTTGTTCAGGACACTACATTTTCTTTTTCTTTCTTTTTTTTTTTTTGTGGTTACATATTGAAGGCAGGACTGCAAAGGGGGTTCTCTGGACAAAAGAACAGGGTGTTTCTAAACAGAGCAAAGAATCTGCAGAATTTTTCATGGCAGCCTTGCAGCCTTTGCTTAAGAAAATGTGTCCAATAAATGGAACATTTCTTCCCTTAATACTAATCCCTTCAGGAAAACACACTGATGGAACATACCAAGAGCCCTGGAAAATAATTTTGCTTTTCGATTCTAAGAAGCTACCCTAAGGACTAAAAGAAGTGGGCAAAGATTGATGTGGAAGGTGTTTTGCTGTTGCATTATCTATATGCATGCAACTTGGGAGCAACCTAAATGTTCAAAAACACAGATATGGCTATTTATATCAAGCTCAATCCACCTGATGGAATATTATAACATTATTAAAATGTTTTTGAGAATATTCAATGTCAAGAGAAACTGTTTCCAATATGAGTGAAAATAAAAGAGTCCTAGAAATCGGGATGCATGTGATGATACCAAATTTGTAAAATAAACAATCTACTATACATTTATTTACCATATTTACCATATAGCAATGTTACATATGCATAATACCCTGAAAGGAAATAAACTGGTAAGTTCGCCATGGTTACCTTTGAGTAGTAGGGATATTCGTATATGATCTAAGTTTTTCCCCCCTCAAGTAACTCTGCTTTCCAAATATTCCAAAACGAGTGTGCATTGCTTTTATAACCAGAAAACAATCATTCCAAACAATCGTCCAGGCTTAGGGACTGTCACATAGCAGGTTTCTAACCTCAACTTTAACCCATTATTGTCCTGTCTGTCACCTCCTTTTTTTCAAATTCCTTCTCACTGAGGCCTAATCCTAACCCTTTATGCAAGCGTGAGTGCTTTGTAGCAGAGTTTCTTCTTATTACCTAGGAGGGGCAAAGCCCCCAGTCAATAAGCTCAGGTGCAGAGAACACGGGAGCCTTGGCAGAGCGGAGGTGACATCACACTGTCCCGGAGCCCACGACCACAGGACCACCCTGCCCCGCTGCGTGTGGCCGGTTGGGACCACCGCCCCTGGTGCAAGTGCCTCCAGGTTTCCGGGCTGTGGGTTCCAAAGCTGCGCTAAGCAGCGACTAACGTGAGCCCGAGTCCAGCCTCTTAGGCAGTGACCAGGCCTCGGAGCGGCAGGTGCCGGGGGACAGGCCCGCTTACCTGTTGCGTGCGCTGGGCCCCAGGCGCTGGCAGGCCACGGTGGCGGTGACGTGCTTCCCGCCGCTGCCCAGCTCCTGCTGGACTCCCCACTGCCGCGGCTCGCTGGTCTGAGCACTCAGGATGTTCACGCCCTTCTTCACCTTGGCTCTGCAGGGACGGAGATGGGCGAGAGAGAGCCACAGGGTTAGCGACTTGGCCTGTCTCCACGAGCCTGAGCCCCGAGCGCCACCAAGCTACCTTCGTCACTTTCTTTCTTGCTTTCGCACTTTTATCATATCCGGTGACGGGCAGGCAAGGCGCAGGGGATGGTGGAAATGCTCAACCAACACTGGGGCGGGTGGCAGTGGGATTTGCCCCAGAACTTGCCGTCCCGGTCAGAGGGCGAGAAGAAGGGGCCCCTGGGACGGTCCCCAGACTAAGAGGGCACACTGCAAAGTGGCTGAGGCCATGCACTCAGCCTGCCCAGGTTAGCCATTCTCCACCAGGGGCATCTGTGCCCTGCGGGAGACATCTGGCAATGGCTGGTGGCACTTCTGTTTGTCACAATTGAGTGTGGAGTGCTGTCATCCAGTGGGGAGTGGCTCCAGATTGGAGGCTAAACAGCCCACAATGCACAGGACAGCCCCTGCCACGCAGAACCGGCCAGTCCCTTGTGCAAAGAGAGAAAAACTCGGGTCTAGCTGTATACTCTAGTCTCACTGCTTTCTGAGCCGTGTGATGCTGTGCAAGCTGCAATTTCTCTGTGCCCCGCTTCCCGCCACTCTAATGACAATAATGGCCTCCATTATAAAGCTGTCGTAATGGATATAAAGAGATTGGAACAGTATTGGGCACATGATATGCACTTAATAAATGTCAGCTAATGTTAAATGGCTCCAGGGACGCCCCCGACCTGCTTAATGCAACGTGCCTGGCGCACACTCCAAAGGCGAATTAAGTCAAGGACCACTCACTCAGCCTTTCTAAACTTCACTTTCCTCATCAATAAACTGATGAGAGACATGGCAGATTGAGCACAGGCATCCACCTATGCTGTCTTCCCAAATCCCGCCTACAGGAGAGTAAAGGAAAACCGACTTTAAAGGCATAAATCCCTGATGGGTAGAGGGGTGGACCTTAGAAGCCGGAAAGCAGGTGCACAGTGGGTGACACGAGTTAGCAGGTGACACAAGTTAGCAGGTGACATGAGTTAGCAGGTGACAGGAGTTAGCAGGTGACACAAGTTAGCAGGTGACAGGAGTTAGCAGGTGACAGGAGTTAGCAGGTGACAGGAGTTAGCAGGTGACACAAGTTAGCAGGTGACAGGAGTTAGCAGGACACCAAGAGTCATCAGCTGTTTATGAGAGAAGCTGAGAACCAATGCAGTTTACACTGTGGAATCCCCCCGACTCTGGGATTGGGGTACCAGCCACCTCTACAAGTGGGAGTGGATGAGGACTAAAGTAGAGAGGCTTAGCTAAAAGCCTGTTTACAAAGCAGCAACGTGCAAATGTGCTTTGACTTCAGGAATCCATCCCTGGCATGGGGCATCAGAAGGAGTTGAGAATGGGGTGCCATACTAAACACAGAGGGACTACATGAATATATATAGTCATGGGGTACCATACTAAACACAGAGGGACTACATGAATATATATAGTCATGGGGTACCATACTAAACACAGAGGGACTACATGAATATATATATATATATATATATACACATACCCAGGAAGGAGAAAAATAGGCCCTTGAAAATTAAAACTATTATAGAAGAAATGGAAAATTGGTGGAATGGTTGAAGGATAAACCATTTGTGGAAATCTTCTAGGAAGAATAGAAAAGACAGAGATAGAAGATAGGATAAAAGATAATCTCAGAGGATGACTTTGAGGTTCAACATGTAAATAGGAGGGAGGGGGGAAACAGAGAAAAGAGAAAGGCAGAATCATCAATGAAATAATTCAAGAAAATTTCCCCAAATGAAAGGATATGAGTTTTCAGATCGGAAGAGCTCACGACACGATCAGCACAATAGATGAGAACAGACTCACAGGGAGCCACACGATCGATACATTTCAGAACATCGGGTACCTCGAAGTGAATTCTACAACCCCCCAGAGAGACAAAAACTATCAAGCGATCAGGATGGATTAAGAATTAATGACTGCCACTTTGGAAACTCAAAGACAATGAAAAACATCCTGAATATTCCAAGGGGAAATGATTTCCAGCCTAGAATACTGTATCTGGTCTAATTATGAATTCAATGTTTCCACACATGTGAGTTCCAAAAAATTCACCCCTTCCAGCCATGCTTGAGAAACTACTTCAGGATGTGCTCCATCAAAGCAGAACAGAAACCTAGGAAGAAGACACAAGATGAGGGGAACAGAGTCCAATCCAGGTGAAAGGAACCACGGTTGATGTGAATAGCAATCTCAGGATAGCAGCAGAGCATGGGGCGTAAGGAGAATTCTGGCAAAGACGTCTCCAGGAAACTAAAATTTTCCTAATAAATGTGAAATGAATGCCTGCTTTGTGAGGATATTTAGACAACTAGTGGAGAATCTGGAAATAAATATGAGCTAAATCCACAGAAAATCAAGAAAAGAATAAAACCAAATCAGTTTTAATTCTGAAGACAATAACTCATTATGCAGAAGAGGAAAAATAATCATAATTTAATACTGGATTTTACTGTAATTAGCATAAGTATTTATATTTTAAGCACCGAATACAAATCTAGACCAAATCTTACTGTAATGGAAGGGGGTACACAGATAAAAATGAGGGCACTCAATGGGGGAGAGACATATCCTGATTCTCTATAGTGGGAAACTTACTGCCTAAAATGCAAAAACAAACAAAAAAATTAAGAAATATCAACATCAATGTGTCACTTTATGATATGGATGTAAATGCCAGACCAGAACAGGATTTTGCCTTTGTGCACAGAGAAAGACAGCAAAAGAGAGCAGAGTACTGTAGTATTATTTTAAATAACTTTGTATTTTGAAATAATTTAGCGATTTGAGAGTAATAAGAAATTGCAAAAAAAAAAATAAATAAAAATAAAATACAAGCTTCCCATATATCCTTCACCCAGTTTCCTGCAAATGATAATATTTTGCATAGTCATGGCTCACTGCTAAAGTCAAGAAATTGACGTTGAATAATACTATTAACTCAAGTATGTGAACTAAAATAAAATCTTAAGTCCCCCAGCTGACTGAATGGACTCCCTCTTGGCCAAGGGGACCCCAGAAATACCCTAAAGCTGAGTTGCTGCCATGACAAGGGTCATGCCCACCAACCCCACTCTTTTCTTGGAGGTATCCTTTGATATCCTTTGATATCCTCATGAACAGGCTTAAAGCCATGCAAGACAAAGCTTGAACCACACCTGCAGGTCATCAGTTTACTTAACGGATCACTTGAGTCTATGTCGGGTGGCTTGTCTGTGATTAACAGACATCCATATCTTAACTTAAAAAAAAAAAAATTCCAAGCCTTTAGACAAAGCTTCATTTCTTTAACCAATCACAAATAAAAGGATCTTCAAACCCACCTGTAACCCGTAATGCCCCTTGCCTAGAGATGTCTTGCCTTTTCGGGTCAAACGGACGTACACCTTCCATGTATTGATTTATGACTTTACGGGTAATCCCGGTCTCCCTGTAATGCATAACACCGAGCTGTGGCCCAGCCACGGCGAGACCACTTGCTCAGGGCTTCCTGTGCGTGGCTCTCCGGGCCGTGGTCAGGCATAGTCAGTTCAGAACCATCCTCTCTCCATTATTTTACGGAGTTTGGGTTCTTTTCCACTGACAGGTACAGATCTTGTTCAGATTTCATTTGTTTTCACATGAACCTTTTTTGTGTCTAATTCTGTAAAATCACGTCACACGTGCAGACGGGAACAACCATCGCCACAATCGCCACGTGACCTGGTTCCATCCCCACGAACCAGCTCTCTGTTCCTGGCGGCAGCCACACCCTCCCCCGACCCTAACCCCTGGCAAACACTGATCTGTCCTCTACCGTTTCAGTTTTGCTTCTTTGAGAATGTCAGATATTCATTTTTCGGTCAAGGAATTCTGCAGGGCTATTTGACTTCTTAGATTATATGCAAGGTTATATCTTATGAAAGTGACAGCTTAACAGATTACACACACACACACACACACACACACACACACACACGCACGCACGCACGCCTCTCTCCCGCTGACCTGCCAGAGTGGAGGAGGCAAATCCTTGTGAATGGTTAACGGGCGGACTCGGCTGAGAAACACGATAACCAAATGGTCCCCAGGGGGGAACCGGCAACCACCCAAGGGGGTGGGAGCTGGTGACAAACCACATCGTCACATGACAAATTAGCGTTTTGCAAATCAGCATCAACCTGCACAGCAGCGAAAGTATACCGGCCACGGCAGCCGCCTTCTCCCTTAGAAACTTCTCCTGAGTCTTGCATTTAAAATGATTTGCTAAAGACACTTAACACACATGCTGCCAGGAACACGAGGAGACCACAGTGTGCTGGAGGGACAAGGATTAAAGACGCACTGGCCTGCAAAAGCCCCCACCACTGTTGTAGCGGGTAAAAGAAACACCCCGGTCAGTCTTCACGGCCCGGACACCTTCAACCCCCGCCGCGGGCAACGCCTCAGGCGACATGGCTTTGCTTGAAATTCGCTTTTTGCTGCGTGTGGATTTTGCTCGAGATTCCGGATTTCACCGAAGCTACAGATCGTCCTTTCCACATAAGAGCCTGTGCAGATAGAGGGATCCTCACCGGTGCCGCACTGGTTGGTTTCGCCTCTGCCTAGGGTGGGAGAATGAACCGCTGAGGCACAAGGCTTAAAAGGCTGATTTTGTTCATTAGACGTTTTCTTCGATGAAAGCAATGGTCTTCCTTCTTACTGCAAGGAACTGGCTATCGAGGGAGTTCGGGTCCCCAAACCAGAAGTTTTGCAACCAGAGTCAGCATTAAACAAACACACACACACACACCAGTGGGATGGGAAGGTTAACCTTGAGGAGTCCTGGCTGCAAGAGGAGGCTGCCCTTTCTCGGAGTGGCTTCGGGGAGGGGAGGCTGGAGAGGAGGGTGGGCGGGGTGCAGACACCCCCCGGGAAGGTGATGCAGGTGTGCTTCTCTGT